TGCATCTTCCCTGAGCTCCTTGGAAGATGAACTGTTATGCACTTTGGGGAATTCTGAGGTCCGCAAAGCTAACTCTCCTTGTAAGCCCAAATTTGGACTATTCTAAATGAAGTAGTTTCTAGAAGCTTGATCTATCATAAGTCCAGACCCTCTCTAGGTATTTTCCTTTGACCTTATCTTCTATAGGAGTCTCCCAAACCAACTTGATAGTGTTCAGGAATGCCATGACAGATGTTTCTTACTTAGTATTGAGATAACTTTCCCCCTTTGGGGATACAGAATAAGGACCATTTTGTATTTGTATATACAGAATAGTTAGGATAGATGTACGGCTGCTTTCACTGGGTTCAGTGAGAGGAAGGATTTGTAGTAGTAGTGTTTGGACAGGATGTCCTGGCTGCTGCTTGTGCTGTGGATGACCACTGAGAAGATAACAATGTGCAATGTATTAAAAAAATATTTTAAAAAAATTTCCCCCTTTGGACACCCTCTCAATACAAATCTATGTTTTAGATTCTTCATCAAGTAATATGCTGAGATAAATTAAACCTATGCTTCTATTCTTATGTCGCTCTCAATATAAATTACTTCCACTTCACTGTTCTTACTTAGCAAATCCGTACTCACAAAGGATGCTTTCAGATGTGGTAGAGGGTGTCTTAAAGGGGAGAGCCACCATCTAATAAATCCTTCTTTAATCACTCTTTCATGTCTTCACTGTAGGCTCCAAAGTGCCTCATATGGGAGGGAGCTTCATAGCTATTTGAAATATGTCTGTTATATTTTCAAGAATGTATGACCTAGTTGAAAACAGAGTCTTAGTCTTTTCTTTTTTATTTTTCTTTTTTTGCTGAACTGAAGGTTGAACTCAGGCCCTTGCACTTGCCAGGCAAGCACTTACTCTTCTGAGCCATCGCCCTGGCCCAAAAACAGAATCTTGAACTGTCCCCACAAACTACCAGTTAATGTCTTAGCAGAGATTCATTGCCAGATATCTGAAAGCAAAAAAAGGAGGCCACAGTGCCCCCCTTGTGCTGCCAAACCCCCCTGAGTAAAGAACAATCTTGAGCCACCTAGAGACCAGTATCATACAGAAAAAACCATGCCAGCCTTGCACCCAAATGGCTTTTGCCCATCCCATCTGCAGTCTTTAGACAAATCAGTAACAGCTCTGAGATTCAACTTCTCATCCAAAACATGGACACAGCCCCTACCTCAGGTGGTTGGAAAAAATAAGAAAATGGACAGTGTATGTACAGCGTATGGTCACTGTGTTGATTGTTACTTTTTAAATTTCTAGCAATCAAAATTTTCTTAGCAGGCAGTTGCTCTTTCCCTGTATTTTTCTACTTTTTATAATCAAACTTTTCAAATATTTATCAAAGATGAAAGAACAGTATAATAGAAATTACCCACCTTGCTTGGATCACCTTTCTTCATATGCATTCTCATTCATTCATCTACTCCCAAATGGGACTATTTTAAAGCAAAGCCCAGGAGATGTATCGTTTCATCCATATACATTCTAATAAATGTCTCTTTTCAACTATTTTTAAAATAACCACAATACCATTATAAGACATGAAAAAGAAACTTTTTTTTTTTTCGGAACCAGGGATTGAACTCAGGCCCTTGCACTTGCCAGGCAAGCACTTATTCTACTGAGCCATCTCCCCAGCCCCCTCAAATGGAATCCAAATGGAGTAAATTTCTTGCACTGGGTTCATATATTTTTTTTTTAATTTCTTTCATTCTGCACAATTGCCACTCTTTTATCCTTTACAATGAATGTGGGGTTTTTTAATGAAATCATTCATCCTATTGGATTTTCCACATTCAGATAATGCTGGTTGCATCTCTGTAGTGTCATTTAACACATTCCTCTGTCCATTGTTCTTCAGGTTTGATCAGCTTCAGTCTCGATTTTTGACAAAAATACTTCATGGACAGTAATAGATCTTTTTTGTTTTTGTTTTACTTAAATGCACAATTTGATGACTTTTAATATACTCAAAGATGTGAGTACCCATCACCATTAACAATACTAACCATAGCCATTACATAAAAAGAAATCCTGTACCCCTTAGTCACACTCTCCGAATCCTTCACTCTGCCCAACCCAGCCCTAAGCAAATATTAATTTCTTTTGTCTCTATAGATCTGCCTATTTTGGACATTTCATATAAGAGGAAACATACGCTATTTGGTCTTTTGTGATGGGCTGCTTTCAATTATTATGATGTTTTAAGTTTACCCATGTCGTACTGAGAATTAGTTCTTTTTCATAGCCAAGCAACATTCAATTGTATAGATATACCAGATTTGGTTATTCTGTTCATCAGCTGCTGGACTTTTTGGTTATTTTTAATTTTTTGGCTATGATTAATGATGCTGTCA